ACAGAATACTGCTTATACCAGCTTCTAGGGAAAAACCCCTTACTTCTTTCTTGAAACCAATAGAATGTGTTCTTTATGTTAAAAGACAGTGGGTATTATCCTAAAGAGATTCATGGATTCTGAGATCTTTAACCTCAGTAAGAGGAAGTTGATTATGCAGGAAAGCTAATGTTAACTATTCTTGATCATATGACACTAGGGAGATGTGAAGAAAAGACCCCAAATATATGATATTTTAGAATTAGGCTCAATGGGTCTCAGTCCTGCTGTGGATGTGTGACTAATAAAGACCTGATTATTAAAATGTAATAAAAATATAAAGATGTGGTACACATGACCTCATTCATTTAGCAGTGAGTTATTGGAACCAGTTAGTATTGCCTGGAGCTTGCACTATGTTTAGGTCAAACAAAGTGAATTATAATGCTACTGTTATCATATATTATGAAGGTCTTCATTTCCAGGAGCATTACAGACTGCACAAGAAGCCAGTACAGCACTATGTGTGGTGGAATGCCTAAAATGCCAGCTCTCCAGAGGAAGAGGCAGGAGAATTGTCAGTTGGAGGCTAGCCTGGACTACACAGTGAGATTCTGTCTCAAAACCACAGCAACAAACCACAAAAACAATAGCCAAGAAAAACCATTCCAGTATAACGAGCCTTCCAGTCTTGACAGGTATAATGATTATACATGATAGATTTGATGTTTTTATTCATTTCCTACAACTAACTCAGCTGGATTTGTCATGAAGATTTTGAAATGGTTTTAAAAGATTCAACAACGAAGCATAAAATTAGGAAGTAAGGTCTCATTCATGACATGTTCTAATCATCAGTGCACTTCAGGGCATGATCTTTGATTCAGAGAGATCCTAATTCAATTGTCAGTATTGCTACTTGGATGTGACCCTGCGTAAGTTTTATTGCTCAACCCTCCATTACTATACCTTCAACAGAGATAAAAATAGTGTCTACCTCCAGTTTTTTTATGAGAAATAAATGAGGTCATTATTAATATTGAGCCTAGCATATTATTGAGGACTCAAGGTAGAAGTCATAATTTCCACAGTGATTATGAAGAGCAGCATTGAATTACACCTGTGAGTCTTCCTGGACATTCAGGTTATGATCCTCAGCTATCCAAACAGATAGCCACTTTGAAGTTAGTTGGTGAAGTCAGTAATGTTCTCAGACCTTAAATTGCCCTTAACTGATATATTCAATTGTTTAAGACTATTAGCAATGTAGAATTAGAATATGCAGCTGCCAGGACTTCTGCCCACAACTGAACTTAAATTCATTCTGCTGTGTTCTGTGTTACATGGTCTACATTTTTGGGCCCAATGATATAAAAATCCATGTTAAAATTGCTTTTAGGAGGTACCATTTTAGATCCTTTAGTGGAAAATTATATAATATGCTAATTTCAAATTTGTAATCAATCATGAAGTTAAATAATTGCATTATTGCATGTGTCTTAATATCCACATAAAATCTTTTTAAGCCATTTACTACAAAATACCTAAAACTCATGGATTTTTGAGCACATTTTCTTCTCTAGCATTCTTTTTTCAAGAGATCTTCATTTCAAAATCTGTCAGCATCTCTGCTTTCTTCTTTCCTTAAACATGTTACATATGATGTAAGTATCTAGAAACTTTATGCTGTACTCTTTCCTTCATGTGTTGTTTTTGCCAACAGGTTATTTCTGTATGATTTCTACAGGAAAAAGTGATTTTTATTGCAGACTGTAAAAGAGTCAATGGCAAATATGTTAATGTGGCTACGGATATCAATGGATAAATGTAATAAAAGGGAGAGAGAGAATAACTGAATTATTCCTCCTAGTTGTTGACTTATTGAACTTTTATTCATCTTTCAAAATTCACTTTAAGCTGTGTTTCTTTGTGAAGTCTTCCTAGACTTTCTTACATTTACCTCATTTTTTCTGTATTATTTCTGTGTTTTCATTGTTCTTCTGTGGTTGCATGCGTAACTTAGCCTCTTCTAAAACTCTGAGTTCTTTGTGGGGCAAAGGGTCCCGTCGCATTTGTTTTTGTGCACTGTGTAGCAGGCTCTGTACCTGAAGGTGCTCAATCATCTGTTCAGCCAGATTAAAACAGCGAAAAGTACAACTGAACAAATAACATATTTCGAATTTAAGACATAAAAGCTATCTTTTTATTTTTAATACTTTAAGATAGTAGGCTTACTTGTTTGGCATATAGAATGGTCAAGGAAGAATTAGTAATAAGGTATTTTATTCTCAAAGTACCCTTCAATTCCTGAAGAACTAAAAATCCAGTCTATTCTCCATGTCCAATATCTTTTTTCCAATGTCCCTTTTCCAACAAATCTAGCTAATGTTAATCATTTCCCTTTTTCTTCTCCCTCACTACTTATTGTCCTTGTGATGTACTGGACACTTGAAGATTATGGTTGTATACTCATATGTTTTTCTAAATGTTTGTAAGTTACTTTTCCCCCAGTTGAGGGCAGGATCCATGAAATAACTTTGGTGGGGTGTTGAGGGGATGCATCTACAATGCTTAGTAAGTGGAACATAAGTTGGAGGCTTAACAAATACTAGATGAATAAAATGAATCTAACTGCTGTTTTTAAGAAATATGAAGGTAATTGTTATAGTAAATGGCAAAGATCTCTAGAAGAACTGGATCTTTTTGTAACATTGTACAAAAAGTAAGTCCTAGAATCAAGAAAGGAACCTCCAAATAGGACATTTTCTACTATGGTGTGCTGCCTCAAAACAAAAGTCTGTTTCCTAAGTTAATGTTTATTATCTCTCATATTGTTAATGCTATTTTCCCCAAAGACCATATGGGCCCCCACAGAATGAAGAATTATAATGAGCATTAAAAAAAATTAGCAGTTGAGTAAACCCATACATATGGTGTACAGAAATAATGAGGAAATTTTATTCTGTCCTGGCTGAAACTTCCTTACAGATATGCTGTCCAAGTCAGTATTCTATTAAAAAAAATGACAGTAATAATTTTGTGTTAATTTGGATGAGAACTTGAAGGGTGGATTAAATATGGAAACTATGCATCCTTCCTTAAAGACAAGTAGCAAATGCTATCATTATTCACTTGATCCAACCACTTTGTCAATAATGTTAAGTGTGAGTTGTTGGTGAATTTTAAAGGGGAAGGGGACGATTTCTTGCTCTTAAGTGTTTCAAACTCCAAAAATATAATTCAACTAACTAAAGTTACAGAATGTCCTTTCAGTGCAATTGTTGGATTGTATAAAGACATGGCGACCATAGTTAGAATAAACATAGACATGTCGACACATCATATATAAGTTATGCCTTTTATATCAACAAGTCTGACATAAATCTTATCTGGTGATCCGTTCCCATGGCTTTTTTTTAAGCATATGGATGTTATACAAGTGGTAAATTTTTATAAAACAAAACAGAACTAAAGTTATTGCTTTATCTTGTAAGGATCAAGTTTTCCTCAAGAATTTACATGTGCATAACCAGAAGGATAACTTGCTTGATGCTTTATAAAATAGTTTTTAAAGAAATCTTTACATTATTTGTTCATCTTTATTTATATTGTTTAATGCTTACTTTAGGCTGAACTAGTACAATTTAAATAAGAAGTGAATATATAATACGGTAATCTCCCTAAAATCAGGCACAAAGATTTCTAATCTGAAAGGAAGGAAAGTGGATTTTCTTATTTGAAACTCCCTCTATCCATAAGTGAACAGCCCTTACTAAGCAAACTACTAATAAAATGAGCAGCGTATATTAGTTTTTTTTCATTTATCATTAAGTAATAGTACATACGATTTCCGTTCTCTTATTTAAAGGCTGAAAATTCAATTTATTTCTGAATCTCGATTTGGAGTAAGAAAAGAAGAGCCTGGCTTGGCATTTTTTGATTTACCAACTTTTAACATGCAATTTGCATGAAGTGGAGGCATCTTAGTTACTGAAATGTACACATGACTTGTTTCTAAAAGTTGGAATGTAAACAATGTTTGCATCATGTATGTATGTACATATGACATCTATGTATAATTATAAGTAGACTACAAAGCCTATCGGGCTCTGAGGAAAAGCAAACAACTGTTAGACTTTCCTGGTTCTCATGAAGCGAGTACTCTATACCACCAGACACTTAAAGGTACTTGGCTTCTCTGTGGCACCACAGTGAGGCTACTCTAACAGGCCTTGGGTAAAGTTGCTTCCTGGCCTAGACGCCAACTTGGCAAGGATATGCTGCTGGCAAACACAGATTAGTCAGAATAAAGTAGCCACACAATCAACCAAGCAAAGCATAAATGGCCCTTTCAGCAGGAACCCAAAAGGAGGGATGTTACTGAGCCCAGCGTCCCAAGTGACTTTTTTCCAACATCCCCAAACCCACGTTTTCAGATGCTTTCCAGAAGAGAAGCCTGGGTTCAAGGCTTCTCAGGTGCCTGTTCACCTAAACACCTGGGTCTTTTCTTTCCTCATCTCCTTCACCCTCTTGCTCAAGGACAACTTTTGGGTGAGTTACAGAAGAGTGAGTGGGTCAGGACAATTAGGAAACCACACACAGAGTTCTTTGCAGGAACGTGGTTTAAAAAGGCGGGCCAGGACTAGGCGGGCGATGGTGGCGAGGACCCGGTAGGCGGGGCCACGTGCCAGTCCCAGAGCTCGCAGCTGAAGCGCTCCTCGAGCGCTTGCCAGCATCCCAGCGCGCCAGCAGACCGCCGCCCCGCGGGCCAGGATCCGGGTCCCCGAAGCTGCGCCTAGCTAGCCTGCGACCCATTGGCGTGGCACGAAGGCGCGTCGGCATCCATGCCCCAGCCGGAGGCGCGGGAGGTGAGGCTGAGCACCTAGCAGCCCGCGTCGTGTCCCGCTGAGCCAGGCGCGGGAGGCCAGGGGCGCCCTCCAGCTCTGCTCGTGGCGTGCGGGGCGGGGCGCGGCTGGGGTGGGGGCCGTGGCCCTCGCGGGGAGCTGCGGAGGAGCAGGCGCGCTGCGGACCCGAGGGAGGGAACGGTTAAATTAAAGCCTTGCCATCGACCGTGAGCCCAGAGAGCCCGACTCTGCAGCCTCCCTCACGCCCCCGACCCACCAGAGGCGGCGACACCTGATCCAGCGCACCGACACGGGTCCCTTCTGTCCCGGATACAATTACGCGGCAGAGGCACACTCAAACTCAGGCGCAGCAGCTGCGAGACGAGGTGAGCGAGGGACCACGCAGGCCAGCAGGGGGACGGGGGCACGGGGGGCGGGCTGGGAGGAGGAGGAGAAGAGGGGCGTTGTTTGCTCCCTGAGGTGAGTGCCTGCGAATGGCTGCGATCCAGGGGCGGGGGGTAGCAGTTGGAAAGTGCGATGGGGTGGCCTAAGGGAGTTAGGAATGGGTGGGTGGGTGAGGGGTAGGGGAAAGGAGATCTTTCTAGGCTGATCTAGAAATCCTGCCCCTCCCTTATGGCGCCTCTTCGAGGGTCCTCTGGCGTTCGTGCGCGCGGGCGGAGGGAGGGGATGGCGGGGCGCGGATGGGGCCGAGGACCTTGTACTTGACCCTAGAGGGATGGGCACGGCGCAGCCAGAAGGCTGGACCGGGCAGGGGTGTGCGAGCTGGAGGTGCTGCGGCGGAGACCTCCCCAGTTCTCCTTAGTGTTCCCCCCTGACGCGAGCGGGCGCGTCGGGGATGAGGGAGCTTCAGGCTGTACCCACATCGCAAGTGTCAGTGTCGGCGAGCCCCTCACCCCCACCGCTCGGGAAGGGACAGGGTCGGAGGAACTGGACGGGGCGCCCTTGGTTGGGGAGGAGGCGAGCGCACGGGGGTGCGGGTAGGGGACGCGCTGCGCTGAGGGAGAAGGGCGCCTTCCTTGGTCGGGAGGAGCGGCCGGGGCAGCCGGCGAGGTGTGGAGTCCTAGGAGGCCAACCCGCAAGCGCGTGCAGTAAGTCGGGCAAAAGGACAACCAGAGGTGGCGGGAGCCGGGGCTGATTTGTATGTGCAACCCCCCTGGCGTTATTGGGGGTCTGTAAAGTTGAGTCTGGTGAAGGCACCACTCTGCAGACTTCCTTAGGGACAGGATCGCTTCTGTACCAAGGGTTCTCCTCGTCGTTTAGCATTTGGGAGGACAGAGGGACGAGAAGATGGAAAAACTCCTGAGAGTCCCACAAACTAGCAGGGAAGGCTGGATTGTGATCACTAGGCGGTCTCAATAGGGATTGTCACCAGGTAAAGGGTTGGGTGGCCTTTTCCAATCAGGGGTTACCTGGAGAGGCACCTCTATTACGAGCCACTGTTAGCAGTGGAGACTGGCTTTTATTTCACGTGGTTTCCCATTGAAAAGGTTAAAAAAAAAGTTTCAGCCTCTTCACAGTGTCACCTTGCACAACTGAATTTTTCAAGATCAATGACAGGAATGTGTAGCACTTTGGCTCGTTGCCAAGTGTGCTGCTATTGTTTCTACTTCTGATATTTTATGTCCCCTACAGCCCAGGAAAAATGGCTGCCATTTGTAGGAAAGACAGAAAATGCTTTTCCATTGATATTTTAATATTTTTAGGAGTAATCAGACTTGTCCCTAAGAGATTTTTAAATGAATTGAAAAATCATGCACCTCACTATATGCTAAGAGAGACCAGAACACTGTATTAACTGAATGAAATCTGAGCCTGCAGGGCTTAGTTTTCTCTACTGCACTAACTAACTCTTGGTAGTTTGAGGTTTTGCTTTGTGTTCAGCAACTATTCTAAATAGTGCAGAGGGAAATAGTCTAAAACTGATTTGCCTGCCACCAACAAGGTTAAGTTGTGACCTAGTGATGTCTCAGTGTTTAAAAACTATGGAGACGCACAGTGCCTTGACATCAAGTAAAGCAGTTTGCTCCTCCATCGGGAGCTTGGATGTGACTGAGCAGATGCTATACTTGTGACTTTTTCCTGGGTAACACTACTGTAGGCTTAAACTCTCTCTAAACCTACAATTTCAGAGGTTTGTGCTTTTATTTATGCTTGGTGCACTCTTTAGAATAAACAAATTCAGTTAATATGTTTATTAAAATGTTTATTTTTTGTAAAATTTAATTTTTGATTAGTTTGACCCTTCATATTTCTCCATAATTTAATTCAAGTGAGGACTTTTCAAGGTACCCATCAACAACGATCAGCTTAATTTCCATTTAAATATTGCTGACCCCCCCAATACTCAACCTCTTCTTCAAAATTATTCGTGTGCCTGTTTATCAAATAATACTGATTTTTTGCTGTTTAATTCACACTAGATCCCCAAGGTGTACCTGGAAATTGCCAAGATACACTGGAATAAGAACTTTTAATTGTTTATACAATATATAATGTGTCACTTATATGATATCATGTGGGTTGGTGCTTGTTTAGATAAGTACAGTTTCTGAATAGTCCACCTTTCACACCATTAATTACTGAAATTTCAAAAAAATTAGGCATTAAAATAAGCAGTTTTTAAGTTATAGTTTGTCCTGGAGGATATTTGGATAGAAGTTGTTGGGTTGTGTTTATAACATGAATTCATAAAGAATTGAATAGTGCTATTCGTTGAGGTGTATAGAGCTGTGTTTGTTTACAGGAGATGATCTCAGCCTGCTGGGTTGAAATACTAGAGTGGAGACAGAAGTACCATTCTGCTTTTTTATGTTGGTTTTTTTCTTGGAAGGGGGGAGGTTCTTTTTCTGTTATCAGCTATCACTTTCTACTGCTGTCAGGCTGTGAGTGGACCCTGCTGCTGTATCATCTGTTTTCTTTTTTTTCCATGAGGTGATGTGGACTATTGCCTGAGTATAAAGCCAGTGGACTTTGTGACAGATACCTTCTGTTTGTATGCCTTTTTTTCTGGGCCAGATGATGAGCTGAATGGTTGAAGTTCCCAGAAGAGGGGCTTTATAGTCAAAGTTTTCATATGTTTATTTATAGAAACTTTTGTGTGTGAGAGATTTAGAAGAATATCTTAATTTTACACAGTTTTGTTTTGTAGAGAATCTTAGCTTTTCTAAGAAATGAAAGCAGCTATTAAAAAAAAAAAAGTCTGCTGTCCTGTGGTAGGGCTAGATTGGTTTTTCTTAGGAATATGTATGCTTCGATAGTTTATACACCTCTTTCTGAAACTGAAAGTCATTAACCTTATGTAGTGTTGACGATGTTTCCCTACTCTGGAATTGAGGAAGGAGTGGCATAATTGGATAACACTGCTGATCGTACTGGAGCCTGGATCAATCGTTTAAATACTATTTTGCATACCTACCTATGGAGGAACTACATAAGCAAATCAGTTTGAATACAGTAGTTTAAATTAGTCTTGAAAACAGCAGCAAGCATATCTTCTTAATCCGAAGCATTTCACAAACTTTCATTATTTTCTCCAATAAATATTTATTAAAAGCATTCTGTGTGCCAGGCTCTGTGCTTTGGGGTGTGTGAAGACAATTAAGATCTGAGAGGGTATTGGGCTTAAGGGGTGGAGAGAGATAAGGAAACTACTTTCAATAAGTATGGGATAGTGCTGATAGAGCTATTCTCAGAGTACTGTGAGTGAGCAGGGGTTTGGAAGTTACGCATTGTACATGGAAGCAGAAGACGCACAAGGTTTCATAGAAAGTGACATAAAATATGATTTGGTGCCAGCAAGATCAGGAGGGCTATTTGCTATCTGGAGTAGTATGGGCTGTTTTCTGTTCAGTGCTGCTTTACATAAAGATGTGGTAATACAGTGAAAAGTCAGCACTCACAGCAATCTCAAAGGATGCATCTGAGAGATATGGACTGGAATGGCCGTCTCAAAAGTATTGGGAGACCATGGTAAGAGACCAAAGTGGTAATAGGGAGATGAAGAAAAAGGATAGGCCACAAAGATGTTCAAGTTGTAGAGTCTCTAGGATCAGGTAACAGATTAGATGGTGGAATAGGAGTGGGTGGTACATGAGGAGGTGGATAGGAACCTTGAAGGAGACACAGATTTGACAAGGAGAATGATAGAGTTCAGTTTAGGACATGTAGAATATGAAGTACTCCTACAAAATTCAGCTGAAGATGTGTGTCCAGTGAGTCATTGCACAGAAGTTTTGAGAAGATTAGTCCTGGGTTAGATAGGAGGTAGTTGAATGGATAGATGGATGGATTGATTGATGGATAGATGGATGATTGGGATGGATGGATGATGGATTTAACTGTTTTAAGTGTATAGATAATTGAAAATAGTGAAAGTTGATATGTCTTCTAGGACAATACTGAGAGTTAAGATAGAAATAGAGACCTGGGAAGATCCTAAAATTTTAGAGTTGCATAAAGAAATAGGAAGTAGCAAAAATGACAGGGATAATGTTTAGGAAGAGCAGAGTTTTAGTAGCTGGAGGAGAGAATTTCAAGAAGTGAGAGGTCAGACACTAAAATGAGGAGTGCAATATAGTCCTGGTTCTGCCCCCAAATAGCTCTGTGACCATAAGCTTATCATTTAGTTCCTTTCCGTCATCTACAAAAGTAACACCTCCGTCATAGGTGACTGTGAAGATCAATGGAGATAGTCTGTCAAGCACAATGTCTAGAAGGTTACCAGTTTGTATTCTACAAATGTGAGTTATTTTGATGAAAGCAGGTCTTAGAAGTGTAATTAGGAGACCTTTAGTGATTTTTGCTTTCCAAAGTGCTAGGTGTCAGGGTTCAGGGAGAGTGGATGAAAAGACATTTTTTAATATGAAAACTTGGTTTTATTTATAGCCTTTTGAGTTAGAAGCCAGTAGAATATCAGTAATTGAAAATTTTGTAAGGAGCAGAGAAGCCAACTGAACAAGGTTTCTGAAGAGAGTAGGAATTCCCTACAGAGCTCAGGGAGGACGCTTGGCCCGGCCTGGAGAGCTGGCAGCTTATACACTGTGGTTAAAAGGCACCTGGTCATCAAATAGTAGACTTTAAGTGTCTTGTGCATTGATTATTCATTTTCATAGAACCAAAAACAAAACCAACTCCTCCCATCCCCCAAAAAGAGATAGCTGGCAACAAAACTTAACAAACTGTAATTTAATATTTAATGATTCATAAGACATTTCTAAATCTTATAGGGTCTTAAAAATCAACCCTTGAGAAGTAATGATTAGCATGTGAATTGAAGAAAGATTCATAGAGGTTTATTTACTATGCTAATATTTAAATATACTTTCTCTTTATTTTAAGATTATCTCTGGATGAAGTGATACTTTAT